TGCATATTGGACCATCCTTATTGTCAAACCCTGCTTTTAGGAAAACTACCATTACAAAATTATTTTCAACCAGTAAAATAGCCTAGTAGGAGAGGCTGTCTAACCCGCCACTGATGAAATCTACCCACATTTGGCAGGTGTAAATGTTCACATCTAAATTCAACTCAGACTCATTCTGAAAACGTACCTCTATATACATTTCTAGAAAGCCGCAAATACGTCCCAGGAGCTACATTTTTTATTTTCACAAATTCACCAGAGGCCGTTGTGTATGCATTTGAGATCTCAAATTTCCCTCATGAGTGCCATTTAAGCCTGTTCTTCTTGCTTAAATCAACCAGAGGCCGCTGTCAACTGACTGTTTGACTGACTAAGTGACTGACTGACCAACCAATCCCCCCAACCTCCTCCTTCCCTAAACCCAACCAACAGTGTTTTCAAAAGCACTGATTAACCCAATAAACCACTTCCCTAAACCAAAACAACAATTTTAAAAAATAATCCCTAAAAAGAAAAGCCCTCGTCTGATTTTTACCACTTTTCAGATTTTACCACATCCTGACCCAGTTATTTACTATTTTTGGGTTACCTGCTTCCAGAAAATGTTCTTCACTGGACTCAAACCCTATCGTTGTGGTCAACAGCTCTCTGCATCTTAAGTCCAATGATGTACATGGTAAGCAAAAACCATCCACATGGAAGTAAGCGGTCAGCATTCGTAGCATTCGTTTTAAAGATGCAATTTAGAGATACAAAGCCCTGACTACATAATTCGCGATTTCCAGAAATGTATGTCTCATTTTCAGAATGAGTCTATGTTGTCTAAATTTTATCACTTGACCCAATGAAAAATAAATAATTTGCCTTAAACAATATTTGTTCTCCATGAGAACATTTTTTTTAAACCTGGTACAAAGCATGTTTGTCTTGTTGAAGAAAGTCAATTAATTTAAATTCTCTTTAGGTTCAAAACAAAAAAATTTTGCTTTAATCAAAACAACAATTCCCGTAAAATGTTCATTCATCTAATTAAAACAATTAGGGTAATGGTTTCACACCTAAATTATAATCACTCAAGGCAATGAAAAATAAATTATTTGCCTTAAACAATATATTTTTTTAAGTCCATGAAAGTACAAAGCATATTGAGCTTTCATGTGAATCACCAGAAAATTGTACAATGGTTAAAATAAATATTTCTTAGTTGGCTATTAATCAAAAACATTGATATTTACCTATTTTTTTTACTTAAAATATATTTATTGAAAAATAAAACAAATAATAATAAACTGAAATGAAAGATCCATTTTTTAATTGAATGAAGTACTGCTTGAAAGTGTTTTTTCAGTGATAATATATTATTTTACATTATTATATACAGTATAAATGCTATATTATTTCTATATTTGTATAATGAGAACACTTGGTGCTCTCAATGTGATGAATACAAGGTACACACAGACCTCACACCCACACACACGCACTTAGAAATGATCCTCTCCACCTGGTTACCATTTCTCAGATGTGTGATGGAGTGAAAAATGCAAAAAAATAAAACCAAAAAAACACACACAACTATTTGGGCCGCCGCTGTTGTCTTTACGGAGAAGAAAACAGAGGGCTTTTACAGGCGGCTAACCTCAGCCAGGGTGGTCTAATGCTCACATATGCCGAATGGGACGTTTGTGTGTGTGCGTCAAAGCGGAGTAACAAACAAGATAAATTCTCATTAGCTGCTACATGCTCAGTAGAACTTAATCACTGGAGTGAAAGTCAAACAGCAAAGGGCGAAGGGGAAAAAGAAAGAGAGAGAGAGAGATTGGCGGACGAGGGCTGAAGACAGAAGAGATGCAAACAATCACGATAAAGGGATGATTCACACAAAAATGAAAATTCCGATGTTATTTAATCACGTTGGTATTGTTCCAATGGTATATGCTCTTCATTTTTTCAGACCACAAAGTCTGTATTAAGGCCAGGATTAAGCGTTTAAAGAGATGCAAATGTATGAAAGAATGATTCCATTCAAACAGTGGTTTGGTGGAAAAAAAATGCATTACTCAAAAAAAATCCTGACCTTGACTGTTAGCTGGCTTTCCGCTATCTGACAAAAAACAAGTGATAAAGCTTTAGCCATTCATTTTACAATGGAGGGCAGTAAAGCAGCTGTGTGTATTTGATGTATTACTTATTAATTACAAAAATAGAACGTAATTAAATTAAAACCTAATTTTACAGCCTCCGTTTTTTCGGTGTACTTTTAAAACAGTTGTAGACAATAGCCCCTTTCTCACAGTGATACCGGTACATAAAAAAATTCTAGAAGGATTTTACAGGTATATTCAAAAAAAGTGCTGTTCAAAGGACCGTACGGAATTTTTCAGGAAAAGACCATTCATACATCCATCCCAAAATACCGGTAAATTCTGACATCATAAACCAGAAATGACCTCTAAACAGCTGCACTTGTATTTGTAAACATTTGACAACATTACAAACTCTGTGGATAGATAAGTATTGTGAACAACTTCGATGAAAACATATAGAGGAACACTTTCGCATGTCGAGATGTTCAGAATATATGTGTGTGCACACGCGTCAAGCAACTGAAGGAAGCAGAACTTAAAGGTAAACAAACAACGGCTTATCATAAGCATTTTATCTATAACTTTTTACACAGTTAGCATTAATAATGAACATAAGAAACATTATCTGGCTAACATCTAGCACCAAAATGTGCCAGGAAAAATATTTTCATAAAAAATAAAAGCGCAAATTCTAACAAATTACTAATTATATTACAACTACTCTTTCCAAAAACTGCCAGAACTAATTTACCAATATTTTCAAAAAGGGCCTGTTCACACATACAGACCTGTCCAGAAAACTGCCTGTAATTTTCCGAAAAGGTCTGTATGTGGAAAAGGGCTTATATTATAAGCACTCCTGTGACATTTTGAATTCTTTTTCAAATATTTCCTAAATTGCAGGTTTACAGAGAGAAAATTTTTAAAATATATTTTAAAACATAATTTTAGTAATACATTTCTAAGAACTAATAATAACTTCTTTGCTATGATGACAATACATAATGTTTTACTAGTTATATCAATAGTATCTGGATGCAGCCTTTATGATGCAAGCTGAGATTGCATCACTCAGGGATGCAATGTCAGACACAATGCAATCAATGGAGTGAGTGACGTCACTGTGACGGGTAGGGTTAGAGGTGGGGTTAGGTGAGCGCATTAAAAAGCATTGGATGCAGCTCAGATTGCACTGTACCAGGTCTGCAGACAGACCCCTCTCAGTTATTTTGCAAGATACTGGTTTTCAGCTTAAAGTGCATCATAAAGACTTCATTCCTTCATTCGTTTTCTTTTGGTTTAGTCACTTTATTAATCGGGGTCTCCACAGAGGAATGAACCGCCAACTTATCCAGCATACGTTTTATGCAGCGGATGCCCTTCCAGCCGCAACCCAGTACTGGGAAACACCCATAAACTATCATGTATACACATAAACATTTCGGCCAATTTAGCTTATTCAATTCACCTAAAGCGCATGTTTTTGAACTGTGGGAGAAACAAGAGCACCCAGGGGAAACCCACGCGAACACGGGGAGAACATGCAAACTCCACACAGAAATGCTAACTGACCAAACCGGGGCTCCAACCACCAATTTAAAGACTTAACGAGTTTAATTAGGTTAACTAGGCAAGTTAGGGTTATTAGACATTAGACAAGTCATTTGATAGTAATGGTTTGTTTTGAAGATGAATGAATGAATGAATGAATGAATGAATGAATGAATGAATGAGTGAACGAATAAAGAAATGAACGAACGAATGATTGAATAAATGAATGAATGAATGAATTAAATAAAATTTGTGTGGCTAATAATTTTGACCTTATAAATTGTTTTTTTTTTTTTAAGTTAAAAAATGTTTTTATTCTGGCAAACAAATAAATAAAAAAGAAATATGACTTTCCCCAGAAAAAAACATATACTAGCAAACAGTGAAAGTATTTGGCAAATATTTGGAAAAGTATACAAATTTATTAGGGGGGCTAATAAATCCAATAAAAAAATTTTTTTTTCCTCGCCTTTACTTCTATTTATATCTTTGTTTTACAAACATTGTATATGATTTTTTGTTTGTACTTTTTTATACTTTAAAAAAAGTGCTCTTTTCCCCTAATGCTAAAAGTTTTTTATTCTAAAATATATGTTATATGTTGGTTATTATTATTCAATCCAGAAATAACCGTTAATTCATTATATATGTTGATTAGCCATAGTTATAAGTTGATTAGCCGCAGTTCACTCCAGCTCACAAGAATAAAAAATGCAATCTAAATTTTATTCTAACTATGTAAACCTATTGCGTCCATCACAACAATCAGATTATTCTGTAAATTGCAATACCAATACAAACCGAAACTTCAATAAATAAAGAGAAAACACTTGTGAATTCACAAAATATAGAAACTGTTAATTAACAGATACTTTTTACTGTGTATCTTGACTTTTCTCTGCGTTTAATTTATGTAAATTGAAGAAATCAACGATTCTTCAGGTTAAAAAATAATAATAAATTAATGTGTAAGTTTATGTATATTTTCACAGCAATACTATAAAAGAAATGCCACACAATTTGAAAAAAAAACTTGCCTCAAAATCAGTCATTTTAGTCACAAAATCGAATTTGTTATTTTATAAAATCCTGGAAAGACAGTAACTTCTTAAAATTCTTCTTAAATAAGTTAAATGATAATTTTTTTTGCATCTTTAAAAAAAAGGTTTGATGCTGGCCACTGTTCACTGCTAATTAATGGACTTTAAATTAAAATGTCTCCCTTAAAAAATATAAAAGCATATGGTATTGGAACAAAGCACCAGTGCCATTATTGCCTCAGTTTTCATTTTTGGATGCACTATCCCTTCAAGACCTTTACAAGTGAACCTCAAGCATCGCTGCTCACGCTGCGATGCGCACACACCTTCAGTGGTTTTTGACTGTGTGGGTCTGTCTCTTCGCCCTCCACAGCCGTGGTTTTACGCTTGGCAGCAGTCAGGTGGTACCTCTGGATGACCAGCGCCTCTTTGAACTCCTCTTGAGTTTTACTCTCTAGCAGCTTCTGTCTGAAGGAGATGTCGGAGAACATGCTGGCAAACGTCCTGCCCAGCTCCATCGCTGTCTTAGTGCTTTTCTGAAAAAACACAGATCAAACATGAGCATGTTATATTTGGTGGTCATTAATTATTTATGGATATTAAGGTCTGTGAATGAGAATTATACTGATGATAGTAATGAAAAATGTAGGAGTACCCACATACAAACACAACAATATTCTGTTTATTAAAACTACATGCAGATTTTTATTTCAGCTTGTTAAAGATTGTGAAACACTGATTAAATGTTTTTTTTTTTATCATTCATCTAGTGGAAAAAAAATCATTCTAAAGGGGATATCAATTGTAGTGTGGGTTTCTGATCAATTTTTACAATTCAGAACAATCATATCATTACATTTGTCATCTGTGTTAATAGAAAGATATATTAATGTGTATTTAATGTGGTTAATGTGGTGAAACTAGTGATGTTTAATGTGGTAACCCAGAAACCACCCTATCCACAAGGCAGAAAATAAAACTGATAGCAGTAAGGCTAATGTTTCTCTTTTATATGGCTTAAGCATTAACTATTTTATATGGCTTAAGCATTAATGATCTAAACTTTTTGCTTTTCATCTGCTAATTAGTTAAAAAAAGAGAACATGTATTGTATAAAACCATTTGGCAAATATCACTCAACTAGTTATACACTTACAGGCCACTTAATTAGGTACACCTGTCAAACTGCTTGTTAATGCAAATTTCTAATCAGCCAATCACACGGCAGCAACTTAATGCATTTAAGCATGTAGACATGGTCAAAACGATCTGCTGACGTTCAAACTGTGCATCAGAATGGGGAAGAAAGGGGATTTAAGTGACTTTGAATGTGGTATGCTTGGTGCCAGACGCACTGGTCTGAGTATTTCAGAAACTGCTGATCTAATGAGATTTTCATGCACAACCATCCCATCGCAGCTTTGTGGAAACAAATGCCTTGTTGATGCTATGAGATGAGTAAAATTATCAGAGACTGGCCAAATTGGTTGGAGCTGATAGAAAGGCAACAGTAACTTAAATAACCACTTGTTACAACCGAAGTATGCAGAAGAGCATGCAGTTGGACGCACAACACATCCAACCTTAAGGCGGATGAGCTACAGCAGGTGAAGACTACACCAGGTGCCACTCCTGTCAGCTAAAAACAGGAAACTGAGGCTACAATTCACACAGGCTCACCAAAATTTGACTATAGAATATTGGAAAAACGTTGCCTGGTCTGAGGAGTCTTGATTTCTGCTGTGCCATCCAGATGGTAGGGTCAGAATTTGGTGTTAACAACATAAAAGCATGTATCCATCCTGCCTTGTAACAACAGTTCAGGCTGGTGGTGGTGGTGTAATGGTGAGGGGGGTATTTTCTAGGCACACTTTGGGCCTATTAGTACCATTTGAGCATCATGTCAAATGCCACAGCCAACCTGAGTATTGTTGCGGACCATGTCCATTCTTTTATGACCACAGTGTACCCATCTTCTGACGGCTACTTCCTGCAGGATTATGTGCCATGTCATGAAGCGTGAATCATCTAAGAGTACTTTTTTGAACATGAAAATGAGTTCACTATACTCAAATAGCCTCCTCAGTCACCAGAACTCAATCCAATAGAGCACCTTCAGGATGTGGTGGAATGGGAGATGCTATCTTGTCAATATGAACCAAAATCTTGGAGGAATATTCCTAGTACCCAGTACTAGTAAGTACTAGTATGAACCTAATTAAGTGGCCGGTGAGTGTACAATTATGCAATTTTAAAAAACTAATGAACACAGTACTTGGCAAGAGCTTACAAACAAAAGAGTTCATTAATGTTTCTGAAATTTAGAATTAAATTAAATTTTCAGCTTCATTACTCATGTCTTTTGTGCCATGTGATTCTTCAGAAAGCATTGTATTGTTGCACATCATTGGTTCTTAGTTGCCATATTTTATATACAAAATACGAAATACAAAAATACTGAAATCATAATGTTTTATCTACAATATCAGGATTCTTTGTTGAAAGGAAAGTTTAAAATATTAGCACTTATTTTAAATATAAGATATTTCACAGTATAAATTTCATTCATTCATTCATTTTCTTCTCGGCTTAATCCCTTTATTAATCAGGGGTCGCCACAGCGAAATGAACCGCCAACTTATCCAGCCCAACACTCATTCACATACTCTATGGCCAATTTAGCTTATCAAATTCACCTACACCACATGTTTTTGGACTGTGGGGGAAACCGGAGCACCCGGAGGAAACCCACGCAAACACGGGGGGAAACATGCAAACCCCGGCTAAGCTCGAATCAGCAACCTTCTTACTGTGAGGCGATTGTGCTACCCACTGTGCCACCGTGACGCCCCAGTAAAAATTAAATAAAATGAATGTATCATTGTTCAATAAAATATTTGCATAATATATAAAATAATAGTCTTATTACTAATTTATGGAGGATTATTTGACACTGAAGACACATATTCCTTTTGTTTAAAATTAGGTTTACTTTCAAAAGTATTGGACAATATTACCGCTGCAGTGCATTTTGCTCCAATAAATCTTAGTGAGCAGAAAAGCCCTCTTTCAAAATCATAAACAATTCTAAATGTTTCCAGATATTAGTCTATTTAAATGTCTATTTCATTTTAACTCAAGAATTCTATGGCAAAATGTCCTCAAATAATCTGTATTTTTTAATAATTTTTTTACATGGTTTATGTTTGCCCTGTCCTTGACATTCATGATTTTTGCTTTATCATCTTAGGTTTTATATCCATTTAAGTTACATAACGTTCATGTCATTCTCTTGTTTTGAACACATGGCAAGAAAAGAGGATCAAGAGTATCTGCACGTGCCTGTATGACAATCCAGCTTTTAATGAAATGAGAAGATGCTTGTTTGTGTGTGAGGCCATTTCTTTCTTTTTAAAAGCTCAGAATTACCAAGCAAAAAAGTTATCTATATTGCATGGTGAACTACAGAGGACAGAGAAAGAGAGAGAGCGAGAGAGAGAATTGAGAGAGAGAAAGAGAGTGATTAGATGTAAACAGATGTAAACACATACACACAAACACACAGATTTATGATGTAAACACAGACACAAAGAGATACACAGAATAGTCTTGGATGGAGCCGAGGGCCCCAAAGCCTTTACGGTTAGACTGGAAGGGGAGCGAAAAACACAGGACCAGGACTTTAAGACTTAAATATGATGGTATTAGTGTGTCTGAGCCTGCCTTGAATAATATCGCATTAATATTTCAGATGCCTCCATATATATCAAAGCATTTAAACAGAACAAACACTGACTTTTTACTCAAGTTTTGCCCTGCAAGACTCTGATAAACCATTTCCATATTTTTCAAAGTGCATAGACAGTTTGTTGCTGGGTTTAGCCTGTTGGGTTATGTGTGAAGGTGTGTGTTTTCAGTATTTTTGTGTTATCCAGTTGATCTTACTGAGTATGTTTACATGGACACCCATAATCTGATTTTAATATGATGATTAAGACAATACTCTGATTAAGAGTCTACCATGTAAACAGCAATGACCTTAATCCGACTAAAGTCATAATGGAACTAAACATAAATGGAATTAAGACATGTGGAGTATGTCAATTTTATTCACATTATTGAAGTGCAGTATAGACATGTAAACACCACAATCCTGAATGAAAGTTAAAGTGGCAAACTGCAGTTAAAGTCGATAAATTAAAAATGAAACATCCAAAATGACATAAAACTTCATAGGTAATGTGGATAGCGTGGTGACGCAATGACGTTAATCGAATTATGTGCTATACCATGTAAAACGGGATCATGAAAGGAATATTCACAAACACCTTAATGTAAACACCTTAATCATATTATCATCTTATTCAAATGAATGCAAATAATTTGATTACTGATGTCCATGTAAACGTAGTCACTGACAGCTGAAGCAATACAACAATTAACCTATATATGAGGACGAAATTAGTTTGTGTGTCTTAAAAAAAACATAAATTAACTGTTTGATTAGTCAATTATTACATTAATCAATTATTAAGTTGTCAAATGAGGTTAAAAAAAACCAATGCAAATTAATCTTATTTTAATTTATCAATTTTACTATCACTCCATTGTTTAGAATATATATACATACATATATTCTAAACATTCATTTACACTGTGTGAAAAAAGTGTAACATGATAAAACGATGTTCTTTTCTAAATTAACATGCTATTTAAATTAATATTTTTAGTTACAATAAAATATAATTTGGTTATAATCTATGCTTTATTTAAATATATAATATAATATATTTTAATATAATATAATATAATATAATATAATATAATATAATATAATATAATATAATATAATATAATATAATATAATATAATATAATATAATATAATATAATATAATATAATATAATATAATATAACTTAACCTAACTTAACTTTTTATTTTTATTATTCATTTTCTTTTTAGCTTAGTCCCTTAATTAATCCAGGGTTGCCACAGTGGAATAAACCGCCAACTTATACAGCACGTTTTAAGCAGCGGATGCCCTTCCAGCTGCAACCCATCTCTGAGGAACATCCAATTCACCATCACATGTCTTTGAACTGTGGAGGAAACTGGAGCACCGAAGGAAATCCATGCGAAAGCAAACTCTACACAGAAAAGCCATCTGACCCAGCCGAGGCTCGAACCAGCGACCTTCTTGCTGTCTTGCTTTGAGGAGACAGCACTACCTACTGCGCCACTGCGTCGCCATAATATAATATATAATATAATATAATATAATATAATATAATATAATATAATATAATATAATATAATATAATATAATATAACCTCAAAATTATTCAAACAGATTCTGCAAATAACAATAAAACAATAAATTCTAAAGAGTCTTTAGAAAGCAGAACAAACAACATAAATTTCATTAATTAATATTCAATTATTTAACACCCTTAAAATTTACAGTGTTCATGTTACACATATAGTAAATTAAGACTAATTACATGTATTTAATCTTAAACTAAACCCTACTCCTAACTCTATAATAAATATGTTTTGTTCAGGTTAATGTATATTAAAAACACCTTTAAAAGCAACTGAAACTATTTCATACACACTTTTGTGTAACATCTTTTCCCTCCAGATCTTACACTAAGCAAATATTTGCAATTAAAGCCATTTCTTTCACATAAACCTGAGCTAATGTCCTCACACCCGATACATTTTATGCACATTAATGAGGCCATTACCATCTTTGAAGGTGCCAGGATGAGGATGACGTAACGGACCTCAGCGCAGTTTTCCCCCCAGTTCTGCGGCCGATCCAGACGTGAGATACACACGTGCCGCCTCTGCAGGTTCTTCACATTACAGCTGTCACAGAGAGTTCATAAATCATCATAAATCCTCTTACGATTTACAACAGGGCTTTGATGTATCTGGCACAGTATCAGATTAATTCAATATGTAACAGGAGTACAGCAAACACATTAACAAATCCATTGGTTGAGGTCTAATGGGATTACAGAAAGCTCTTGAACAGGGGTGTCAAAGGAAGATCTGCTTGTGGGACGATGGGCAAACCCATATACGGGTATAAAGTTATAAAAATGCGCACAAGTCTGAGGTTATTATCAACTCAATTAACCATATTAAAAAGAAAAGATCCACTTAGTGCTCTTGACTGAGTCATTTTATATATAGTAAGTGAAATTAATCAAATATTACCATAAAGGTCGGTATAAGGAACACAATTTAAATACTTTGTTCCTCATCCAATTTATTTAAAATCCACCTTAAAAAGTTACACTTTAGAATTAACCACAAACTGCAATTTCTTTTTTTTTTTTTTTTTTGTATTTTGACACAGTTCCTAGAGAAACTAAATACTTAATGATAAAACAGGCTTGTTTTTTCCACTGCAAGCTAATTGGATGTAGTAAAGCAGGCATTTCCTCCTCACTTTTTCTGTTTATTGTGATATCAGTCAAAGCTGAAAGTTGGAGGGGCGTGGTTAAGTATGTTAGCCATGCCCAATGCCACGAATGACCAAATAATAATTAAAATAATAATTTCTTACATTTATATAGTGCTTTTCTCGGCACTCAAAGTGCTTTACACATTGGGAAATCGCCTCATCCACTACCAGTGTGCAGCATCCACCTGAATGACGCGATGGCAGCCATATTGCACCAGACCACACACCAGCTGATTGGTGAAGAGGAGACAGAGTGATGAAGCCAATTATGATATGGGGATTGCTAGGAGGCCATGATGGACAGAGGTCAGTGAGCAAACTTGGCCAGGATGCCAGGGTTAAATCCCTACTCTTTTCGAAGGAGATCCTAAGATTTTTAACGACCACAGAGAGTCAGGACCTCGGTTTAACGTCTCATCTGAAAGACGGCACTCATGGGGAATTAGGACCCCTGCTGGCCTCACTAGCACCACTTCCTGCAGTATCCTAGTTTCCCATGTGGTCCCCAATCCAGGTACTGATCAGGCGCAGCCCTGCTTAGCTTCAGTGGATAACCATGTGAGTTGTAGAGAGCTAGCTAACAACCAGAGAGGTGTTTCATGGCCTTAACCATTTGACTGTCCGCTCTACTAAACATTTGACCATGTGTTAAGTGTTTTGAATAATGAATGTTAAAATCATTCGAAGACTGACTGTTTTAAATAATGGTTTACACATTCAGCATTGTTGGCTTACAAGAAAATCAAACAAACATAATCCTGTTGCACTACTATACTTGATTTTGGTTTTATTGAGAAAAAAAAGAAAAGAAAAAAACAGAAAGCTTGTAAATGAGAACCTAAAAATATTTTATGGCATAGTCCAAAAATTAAAGGTTATTTAGGGCTCGATTTTGACGATCCATACGCAAAGTGCAAAGCGCAGGGTGCAAAAGCATTAAGGGCGTGTCAGAATCCACTTTTACTATTTTAAGGATTTTAAAAAATCCACTTTGCGCTGTGGCACATGGTCTAAAAGGGTTGAGCTTATTTTCTTAATGAGTTATAGGTGTGTTTTGAGAATAAACCAATCAGAGTCTCATTTCCCATTCTCTTTAAGTCAGCTGCGTCGCGTTATAGCGCATTTGCTATTTACATGATGGACTTTGTAAGTGGAAAAACGGAGCATTTCACTAGCAAGAAAACAGTTAAACAGAGCATCTACAGCATGAGAATGAGAGATGAGCCTCCTCATCATGGATAGGGAAACTTCTTGTACGCACAGACATCCATTAGCCAATAAATAATTAATTTTGTTTGTTAAGCGCAAAGATTTTTTTCAAAACTATTTATAAATTCAGTTCTAATTTCCAGCAAACGAATAAATGAACAATAATAACAAAATGTGTTAAAAAAACAAACAAAGTTATATCCTAATACACATGCTGTGGTCTAAAACCTGACAGGGGGGCAAATCTAAGCTTGTTTTTAATAAAACAAATATAAATATGGATATAAAAAATAATACTGCTAATAATAATAACATTATGCAAAAGCAAATTGTTATGAATAAACGAAAAAAGCCACCAGAGAAGAAGAAGGCATAAAGGTATGGTTTTTATATTTATGTATGCTAGAAAATAACATGTTTGTAATATTTTAATCCTTTATATTTATATCCTATATATATCCTTAATATTTTAATTATTTTTCATAAGTAAAGATATTTGCGTATTGCTGTACATCCTGTCTGTATTAAGCAATGTGTAAGTGAGGCACACAACTAACGCACTCTGCGTTGGACTGGCTTTGTTCTGGTCTATAGAACAGTCTATTACAGTTTCTCAATATAGCAATGCGCCAGCAGTGCGCCTCAACATGCCTCCTTTTTTAGACTAAAATGCCTATGTGCGAACATATGAGCGCAAATGCATTTGCTATTTAAACAGCGTGGCGCAAAACGTCAAAATGACTCTTGCGCCAAGCTGAAACTAGCAAACAACAATTGCGTCGCACCTTGCGCCAGGTGTATGATAGGGCCTCTTAGTATTTAAAAATGTTTTATTTTGAATATTTTTTTAAAGTAAATTGAGCTAATACTTTATATTTTTCAGATATTCATAGTATATGCATTAATTCCACTACTTTTACCATAAACAACATATCAACCATTTGGTAGAAGTTGATATTTTAGAAATTATGGGATGTGTTAAAAAATGCATTGAGTATGTGTTACTAGCAACATTAGGAGTAAAGAAATGCTATCCAATTTTTTTTTATTGGTGAGGCAGTTAAAAGGCTAAGGTTAACTTATTATATATTTCTCGAAGTTTCACGAGGTGAAATATTGACCCTCAAGCATGACCAAATGACCAGAGAATGGTCACATGACCTTAAGGTTAACCTTCTCCAAATTTTAGGAGGTAGAATATTGACTCTATGATAATCATGCTAAATCTACCAACCACAAATTTGTGCAATCAAAAATAATATACAGCTAGTTGAGAAAGAGAGCGGGCTCATTCTTCTCTCTTAACTCATAGGCCAACCTTTGGCCAGCACCCAAATTTCGGCTATAAATGTGAGGCTTTCTTGCTAAAAAAATTAGAAGCTCAGCTGTGGGATAAGTGCACATCGCCTGGCATTCTCGGACACAAATGTTGGTTTTTCAATGTGATTGCTACGGGCTCCCCAGTCTTTGAAGAAGAAAATGATGGTATGTCTCTGAAGTTGTGTTAACTTATATCGAATTGCTTGGGGTTTCATTATTTCTCTTTTATTCATATAATTATTATTACTCATCTTTAATTAATTTAATTAATGATTTTTTATTATTATTAAGATTATTGATATCAACTGCGTGCAATAAACCAGCAATAAACAGTTGCTTGATTAGTATGGTGTATGGACCAATATTGATGCCTTCTCTAGTCGATGTTTGATTTCATGTGTACTAAAATCTTTAGATTTTCTCAAAGTATCATTTAGCTTTGGTTCAAACTTTAAAGTGTAACTAATCTAAATTAAATATATTTGATGTGGTCAAGAAAACAAATTTCATTAACACAAAGTAAAAATATTTTTCATTAATTATAATTTTGTCTTTGGTTCAAGGTAGATTTATATTTATTTAAGTTTTTTATTTTTATTTTAAACAAAAAATTAATTTAAATCAAAAAATATTTTTGCCTTGAACCAATCTCAGTAATCTTGTCATTTGTTACAGCTAAATTTATAAATGTCCCCCAATTATAGTTTTGACTTGGTTGAAGTTTCTGGTTTAAATTAAAAGTACTCTTTTGAGGTGAAGTAATGCATTTAAATTTTACTATTTGTTTGTTTTTTATTAATTCAATATATGATCATATTTTTTCACTTAGTCAAATATAAAACGTACTTTAAAGGGCACCTACCGTGAAAAATCTATTTTTCAAGCTGTTTTGACAGATGTGTGTAAGTTTAGTTTATAGACCGCCATATTGGGGTGATATAAACACACCCAGTCCTTTTTTTTAATTTAATAACATAAAAACGGTGGAACAATTGGAGCTGTTTTTACATTGACCGCAACTTGACGTAGGAGTACGGCCCCCCGCCCATCAATATTGATTGACAGCTGCGCTTCACCATACCTTCAGTTTGTTGTTCCTTGTCCGCCATTTTCAACGTGAGAGTCAAAGCGATGTCACTAAAGGAACACCCTTGCTCTATTTTTATATGTAAGGCTCATTGGGCTCAACACAAGATCAACATTCACCACATGATCGCTTTAATCAGAATTATTGTTTGTAAGTTAGTTTGTTTGTAGGTAGGTTTGCAAACTTGTACTTTTCATTGCATCTACCTCAAACTTCAGTCGTTATTTCTGCAGTCACAGAAGCTACCTGTGATCTTAACTAAGCACAACAGCGCTTTCAGCTGGCGACTGTCCGCGGCACTCAGCCACGATTCGGGACACTTCATATTTACGCCACGCCAAAGACCGTCATCTGAATAGTTTGATATTAAATAACATGCGAATGTGCGTGTCTGGTGTTATGTGTCGCACCTCTGAGCGGAGCATCTGGTGCCTCAGTCAAAGTTAATTCAGTGTGTGTGGTTATTAGTCTCAATATACAAGCTCGGAACTTTAAACTAGGAGTTTGCTGTATCATTTGGCTGTAAAACTATACAAAGACACAAATGATTTTGTAGCCTCTGCTTGGTCTGTGTCTGAGCCGTACATGTACGGCTGAATGCGTGCTCTCTCAATTATGTGGCTTCTCTCTGTCTGCCTGTCTTTTGCCAAACACAGAGCGGGGGAGCTCTTGGCTCCGCCCCCTTGTTACGTTGGGCGGGAAGTCGAAACTTATTTTCATGTGAAGCAACACGCCCCTAAAACAGCGACCTGTGTACACGCCCCCAAAATAACACTTTTG